GGCAAATCGAGAAAAACTGAACTTTCTACAGTATTAGAGCTAAACTTGGCTACTAAATTGCTGATGGGGTGCGAATGAGTATTCCGCAGTCCGTAACGCAACGACTGCAACGTTCTTACTTGTTTTTAACAAAATTTGAATAATTTATACATATATTGTTATATACAGTTTTTGGATACCGCTCCCCTTCGCCTCAAATTTCAAGTGTGCTTTGATCACGTTCTGGTTTCATGGAGATAACCTACAAGAGAAATTCTTCAATAAATAAATTCTCATAATTTCGCCCACACTGCAGTCCAAGGGCAGTCGCTGCCCTCTGCAAAGTTAGTTAGTTCTTAAAAGTGCGTGTGGATGTATGGGGGTATGTGATTTTGTATGTGTGAATAAAAGAAATGCAGAATGATTAGAATATTAGCTTGGAGGGTTCAGGGTATCCTAGCCGTCTCGACCAGAGCACACTTACTTGGCTTAGTATTGATTTTATTATACTGATTTACGAAAGTGAAACGAGACTGTGTTAAGACTTTCCCGATCCGCCCAAGGGGGGTGTGGCAAATCGAAAAATGCATTTTCCGATATACCAGAATTCATATTAGTTAATGAGCTATAAAGCTATAAATTTGGAATGTAGATCCGTGTCGACCGTCAAAGATCACGAGCTATGGCGGTTATATCTACGCCCACTGGGGGCGTCGAAAATCGGAGAAAGCTGTATCTCTAGAGCTAGCACGCTGAAATATTGCACGTAAGCTAATGTTATGATTCTATAAATATTATAGAAGCTTCAACCCATAAATAATTTTTACGCCTTTTTAGGGGTGTGGCATATCAAAAAATACCCTCTAATTTTCAAACTTTTTGAGTATAAGCATCTAAAATTTGCAGTTAGGTTACCGTTGGCTCGTTCTAAGAACTGACCAAAAATAAGGTGTCTAAGCTGCATTTTCTACAGTATTCGAGTTAGAAACTCAAACCTTAGCTACTAAATTGCTGATGGGATGCGAATGAGTATTCTGCAGTCGGTAACGCCCGACTTAATATCTTTGCACAACAGCTGGTGGATTACACACTCAATATGTATGTATATGTATAATAATATACATATATCTTTGTATATACATATATGGAGTCTTTTAGACTTACTGTACCGAGCTGTTAAGCCTTTGAGCATAAGCATCGTGCACCAGGCTCAGATTTTCAATGAGTTTAGGGTATCAAAACAATTGTAACTTTTCATTCAATTTCCGAACTCCTCTGCCTAATTTTTGCCCCGTCACGGTTGTTTATTTGGAAGACAGTTTTTGTGTGGAAGGCTTAAGATTCTTTAAAAGGGAATACTTCACAAAGTATGGCAAATATTGTAAGAATTGTGCGAGTGCGAGTTTTGGAATCCGAAATGCAAATTGAGATTGTCGTCTCGTTGAAGGCGCGTGGCCGAGTTGAGTTTCAAACTTTTCGAAATAAAGATCAAAAATTGTTGATCCTAAATGCGAACTGTGTGTGGGGCGAGGAGCGAACAGACTTCCTTAAAGCCGAGTGAAGGCAACTGAGCACTGTGGACACACTGACTGCAAATAGTTTGCGAACAAATTAAGCCCACTTTGCAGTGATTTGTGTCGCTAACACAATTATTTGTCGGCAGCAGCAGAGCAGGAGGCGAACGACTTGGCTGTGGCTGCGACCGCTTCCTATACTGACAACGCAGCTGATGTCCTTCGTGTGTCCTGCTTCTGAGCTCTGCTCTTCTATGTCTACTATTCATCCTGATTGCTATTACTGCTGCTGCTACTGCTGCTGATGCTGTTGTTGTTGTTCTTGTTGTTGTTGTTGAGTGTAGCTCAGCACGTGGAAATATGTACTACGTGCAAAATATAAGTCGCGTCCCTTGGCAGTGGTTGTGGCAGTGGTTGTGGGTGTGGGTGAGTGGCTGAGTGAAGTCGATGCTCCAGCAATTGGTTGGCAAATGACAGATGGCAATACATACGTGATTCAACACGAATACACACATTGTATGTATATGCATGCACATACTTTTCTACATATCTATATATGTAATATTTAAATATAAGCAAAGCCTGGGCCATTAAAGAACTTCTAAGGCTGCGACCCACTGATTGAAGAGCTACCTCATCTCTTCTTAAATATCACATTATATCTGTGCACACATGCACACATCTGCAAGATGTGTAAAAAAGTCAATCACAACAACTATAAGGCCCACCGAAAGTATTCGCAGCGAGGTGAAGCGAGGCATCCATGTATATGAGTCTCGGAGCCCGCGAGAAAGCCAAAATTCTTAATTTGACTGTCATGGCGCAGACATAATGGCTCACATTTCTATGTATTAGTCACATACATTCCTTCTGGCCGCTCGTCCGCCTGTCCCCCAATCCGTCGGCCCTTCCTTCTGGCCCACTTTCATCCGATATTTGTGCGCAGTTTTTATGCCATTAACTTTTCTCTTGCTCACCTTTTCGGTTTCTTATTTTCTGGTATTTTCAGTTCTTCAGTTTTAAGCGTATATATATTTGCTTATATAAGGTTGTCTGGGGACCCAAATAGTCGTCGCAATAATCTTTGCAGGCGCTATAAGCGGAGTCGTTATAGTCGGGCTCTACTGCATAAATGATTAATGTCCCATGTGAGAATGAGATCAAGTTTAACAAGAAGAATAACATTTTGGTGTATGTTATTGCACTTTCTTTTCTTTCCGTTATACAAATAATTTCAGATATTCATTGAAAATAAGCAGCTTCAGATGCAGCTGCTGCTTACATGGTATCTGCTAGTCGAGGTGTTCCCAGGCAATTTATTATTGTTTAATCATTTTCTTGCATTCATTTATAACGTATTGAGCAATACCAATGACAAGTCACGTAGTGCTCGCTTACGCAGGCAGAGAGAGTAAGAGAGAGAGAGAGAGAGAGAGACAGGATGAAACAATGGCAGAGTCGAAGAGATGAAAGGAATCACTTCAGTTGTCTGCAAATGCAATTACCAATCGCCGCCTGTTAATAGATTACGAACTTTCAAAGGAAATGTATACAATATTTCTATGGAGTGAAATTTCGCAATTTTCCAACATTACGAACAGCTTTGGGGTAAAGAAACCACCTTGCTACTCCATCTGCAAATCAAATTGAATTCATTTGAATGGAATTACCTGGCTGTTAATGCATAGACAGTGAATGGGAGGATAAGAGAGAAAGAGATGGAAAGACCCAGAAAGAGAGAAAGATAAAGAGAGAGAAAGAGTTCTTTTTCTATTAATTGAAAGACGAATGTCTGTGCATCATACAACAAAGTATTAAAGGGTTAACAGGGGACTTCATTTAAATATATTTAACTCTACACTCAAAAGTAATGAGTGCAAACAAAGAAAACTTTTAAGGCCATGAAATAACAAAGGAAAGTAAAGCTCTTTAGCTACGCAGGCCAACATAATTTGGTAGCCAAGAAAAATGCGCAGTCATTCTAATCACCTTGCAAGGCATTTACGTGATCCGGAGCTCTTTACTGAGAGATTTGCGGGTTATTTGCTCCTAAGCTGAGTAATTCATTTCAGTTAAAGATCCTCTAGCTGAAGTCCGTTTGGAAATTTGGAAAAATTTGCCTGACAAATGTGATCAGACGCAAATACACATTTTGAGTGGATTTCATGCTATTGCTGTTATTGTTTGGTAATGCTCATATTTGGTCAGCCCTAATACACTTCAAGTATTTTCAAAAATCTCGTCGACAGAAAATTGGATTCAGTTTCCATTCGGGCTGTCTTCTAGCTCAGCTTCTTCTGGGCTTCACAATTTCATGAAATTAGATGTTGGCCTGTTCTTTTGTGAGCAGCTAAATTTTCGGTTGTGCTTCGGCGGGCGCCCTTACTTAGCATACGATGCTGCTAACGACACAGATATCACATTTTTGAATCAGCAGTCAAACAAGGAAGCACAAAGGCACACACACACGCAGTCATTCACATTAGGCTCTCTCTCTGTATGCGTATATATATATGTATATGTATGTGTTGGCGAGGCCTTTCGCATTCATTTGGCGCATGCATAAACTGCAACATAGTTAATTTGGCATCTATTACAGCATTTCGGTGGCTATCGTTATCGCCGCCCTGGCCGGTCCCCAGTGGCTGTTCACCGAGGAGAAGCTGCCCAATGTTAACTACAATGGGACGGCCAACTTTAATGCACTGGACGATGGCGCCTATGTGACAAAGTATACCAAATCCAGTCTTTGGATTTTGTGCACAACTCTGCCAGGTGAGTGAAATGGTCAGTAGGGAATGGGGTATGAGGGTGGTGGACACTAAATTAGTATAAATGTGAAAGGCGATGACATTGCGTATACGTCATGTGGCCCACGCGATTTGTACTGTCAATGCTAAATGAACGGCACACACAAACAGCACTGCAGTCAATCAAGCGACGTCAGCTAGTCAGTCAGTCAGTCAGTCAGTCAGTTAGTCAATCGAGCAAACAAATAAGTCAGACAGCTGCCTCCAATTAAGCGCCATCTGTCGGCTGCCAAAAACCAATCCAATAGGTGTCTCTCATGCATGCCACGTAGCTCTCCAGACGCTGTAAATTACAGGGGAATCAAATATATACATATACAATATATAATTCGAATATCGCCTTGCACAAAAGACACCAATTACTTTTGATAGTCAGGCATGATTTATAGAAGTAATAATAAAATAGTACATTTTTAGACAATCTTGAGCACAGAATATGTATGTATCTCGCAACGAAGGTATTCCATTGGCCATAATTACGGATCTTATTATCACTGCTGCTATTGGAGATCTGATGTGTATTAATTTTCACAGGACTTGAAATGGACTCATTCAATTGCATTAAAATTGATTACTTCCCTGATGAGGACTATCAACCAGATCCGCACGATTCAACGTCTGCCATCCCCTGTAAGTAAATGTTTATCAAATATGTATAAATAGTTTGGCACTACTTTACTACTACTACTTTATATAAATACATACATATCATACCTACGGACTCATATTGGCTACTGATTATTGCAGATGCCATATTGTGCATCATGCGGGTAGAGCTTGCATTCGATCTGAAGCCAAAAGGCTGTAGAAAATTCCGTTTGACTGCTTGTTAATTGAACACATATTTAATTGAGGTATAGCAGCAGCGTTTCATAGCCAGCAAATTTGATTAAAAATAATTGATTTGTGTACATGAAAATATCAGTTACAAGTGCCCTTTTGCCCTTTAACAGCACCCGGACGGCTGACTAATTGCATTTAGGTCGATATTTGGGGGCTGCCTCGAATACTATCTGTTTGCTGGCATTGACGTTGTATTACATCCTTGTCCATGTGTTCATTTCGATTTCGTTTTTGTGTCCATTTCCATTTCATTATTATTTACTTTTCGATTTCAGTTTATTCGATTTGTCTCTGTTGCTGCTACTGTTGCCATAAAGGAAATTCTGACTAATTTAAAATGCGCCGCTGGCGATAAAAACAAACTATTAGACGGAAAAGCTCACATCATTTTCCCATTTCACATTATTTTCTATTATTCTCCCTTTTTTTGGAGTAAAGGCCGCGGGCCGAAAATCAGACTTTTGACTTTTTGGTGAAAATTGGCTTTGCGGTTGCTACAACGAAGCACAATCAAACTCTGTTTATGTGGCATGCAACAGTAGGTGGACCACACGAAGTGCGTCTGTTCGTTCATGCCAGATTCTTGACTGGGACCTCATTGGGTGAGGCGTCTTCCCCGTGTTTCCAATTGGTTTTGTACGTTCTACTCATGGCTAGGCAAGGTAAGCAAATGTATGAAAAGGGCATATTAGTTATCTACATACCCAAATAACTTGACGTTATGAGTGCTGCCAAAGATAGGACATCATGATAATAAAATAATGATAATAATAATAAAATTGTTCAAGTTGGACTCAAGTAAGAAAGCTCTAGTCGAGACTGCTCGACTACGATTCAATAATAGCTCACACACACACACAGACGCACGCACGCACACACACACGCACACACATATACAGGCGACTGCGCCTGGGCGATTGGTTGAAGTAGTTAAAGTCTAGACGTACAATCTCAATGAAACTTTCAGAACGTAATCATAATGCTTAAATGTGTGTATATTCTGAAACTTAAGTCTCTACTATTTTAAATACGCCTTTTACAAATATAAGAGTGAGGGGTGGATATAGGGGTGGGGGTATATTTGAACAAAAATCGAAATTGTATAAACTGCATCTTAATATTGGTTTCAAATTTGACTTTAGCTTTAAAAATGTAGGAGATATAATTTTATAACTGATTTTCGATAACAAAATAACGGGATGAGTTATCGTTTTTTAGTGATAAACTCGATATGCGATCGATTTAGCTCGTCGCCCTGATCAAGAATATATATACTTTGTGGGGTCTGCCAGGACTCCTTCTGTCTGTTACATACATTTCAACAAAGCCATTAGTGATGATTTCCCATTTTCAATAGATTCGGTGTATAAAAAAATAAATATTCACAGTTAACTATACTGCCATCCGACTTGATTGTAAACTGCAGATTAAGTTTATATTTAATAATGAATAGTCTGTCTATGAGCTCAAAATCACCTGAGATGCATGGGGATCTACAAATCTATTGAGTTACAGTTCAAGTTTCAATGATCTAATCTGTTTGTGCAAGATCATAATTGAGTTCTTGAAGAATACTAGAGTACTATAAGCATATTCAGTCACTTATCATATATATGTATATGTCTGTGCAGATACATATGTAGATATATTCACAATAGGATATCTTTTTAATCTTATCCTATATGTATATATGTACATTAGCAATCCATATCATTTTTTCCCCCGGAAACGAAAAATTTGTTGGAACTTATTTCATGGTTTTTGTAGATACGGTTACACGGTGCTGTCCAATATTTCTGGGTGCCGGCATTCTGTTGGTCATCAGCTTTCTTATCTTTATGATACCAACTTGTACGCATCGGAAATACATATACTATTTCAGTTCCGGAATACTATTTATCGTCAGCGGTAAGTCATGCTTATTTATAAAGTAAGGAATTGGTCTTGGAAGTGCTTGTTAGTAGATGTTCTTGCAAGTGTTAAAAGTTAAATTTAAATGTCATATTATTCTATAGGTCTGATCATGCTCATCGGCTTGATTGCTTACATATCTATACTGAAGGCAGAGATTGGATCCAAGCTGCGTTCGCGATCCACCCTACAGCCAGCGCTCTTCAAGGTGAGCTATGGCCAGAGCTTCTTCCTGTTCGTCTTTGGGTTCATTGCCACCGAGTTCGTCGGAGTGCTAAACATATTTCTCTTCATCAACATGCACGAGATGAACTACTACAGCGTAAGTATAAACGCCTACCAGTCCCAGCATCCTCAGCGGAAATGGGATAGGGAAGGGCAAAGGGAGGAGCAAGGGATGGGGGTGTGGGAGCAAGAACTAACGACATTTCCGTTTGTGCGAGCCACCACCGACAAATAGTACTCCGACTGCTTCTCAAAGCTCTCTGACCATTTCAATGTTGTTAATCATACCATCAATCATAACCAATGTGCATCTCTAGCGGGACAACTAAACCTTCTAATGATAAATCTGATATTCTTAACATTCTGCACATCTTTTATGCACACATACATACACATACATCCTCACGTACGCTAACTGCTAACTGCGTGCTAACTGCGAAGTAAGCAGCGATTGCGCTTGGACTGCGCTGCAGTGAGGGCAATATTAGAGAATATTTGTTGAATAATCTAGTTTCTAGACGTATAATTTTAATAAAACTTTCAGAACGTAATCACATGGTCAAAATGTGTGTACATTCTCAAGCACAAATCTCTAGAACTTGAAATTGGGGGCGAAGGGGGCGTGGTATCCAAAATCTTAATCTGTATCCATATGGCACAGTAAATCTGAAGTCTCCAGGTCAAATAGCACTCAAATTAGGATGAAAAAAACTATATCGATTTTTCGATTATTCACGATAAAAAAGTTATCGAATGAGTTATCGAAAAATGTGATAAGCTTGTACTGCGTACATACATGTGTACATACATACATATGTACACACGAGTATGCATGCCAAATTTCAGCTCTCTAGCTCTTACAACTTCTGAGATCGACGCACTCATACGGACGGAAAGACAGAAGAACAGGGCTATACCGACTCAGCTCGTCGTGCTGATTAAGAATATATGTACCTAGTTAAGGGGGCCTGCGATGATTCCTTCTGCCTGTTACATACTTTTCACAAAACGATTGCCCTGATTTCCCATTTTCAATGGGTTCAGGGTATAACAAGTAAGAAAACTCTAGTCGAGACTGCTCGACTGGGAGATACCCTGAACCCTCCAATCTGATATTCTACTCACTCTGCACTTCTTTTAGG